ATTTAGGTATACGACCCGTGTCGGCCGGACCAGCGACTTCTGTTTTTGACATTTTGTCTGTAGCCAAAAAAAAAAAAGAGTATAGAGTTCATAAATGTTTTTACTTTGTAACGGCGACGGTCCACGAAACGAGATGACTTTTTCCCCCTACCTGACGATCCTTTGTAAATACTTGATGGCTTTTATCTATTATTACGGTATCCTTGGTCGGCGATCTCGACTGTACGTTTCGACTTGAACGGCAATAGGTTTATCAAAAAGTAACGTAACGTTTTTATAATATACTGTTTTGACCGACCGCAGAAGATATATGTACGAAATATAATTTAACTCAAAAAGAAAAAAAGTCGGACACAATTCAATGGGAACAACTTGATTTCGTTTCGTTAATCCCTTTTCCGGACTACTGCAGTCCGGTCAATAACGATTTTCTAAATACGAACACTTGACGAGAATCGAGACCGTTTTATTATTACCCACGAATTATAACTTGCACACATTACTTGGGTCCGTTATCGAACGGAACAGGCGACAGACTGTGTATTGTACAACACACTTAGTATATTATTATACCGTTGGAAGGACCCTGAAGAGTCCGGAAATCTGTGTTCGGTCGGGCGGCAATGAACGGGCGTTTCCGGCCCGATGCATCGGCCGAGTCTTTTATCGGTTGGTCGCCGTTCGTTTATCCGACATAGCAGGCCGGATGATTATCATATACTGAAAAGCGACGGGGAAATATTTCCCGTAACATTTTCCCACCTTTTCCATCCTTAGCACACACACGGCGTACACGACTGGCAGCACATTTCATTTCCGTTTTGAGAACTACTGCCGGGAAAGGGAAGGTGTTATTTTTATTTTTTTTATGAATATTCCCTATATTGTCGGGGGCTAGCCGCACATCTACCGGCAGCCCACGTGCGTCATCGTCGACTTGTAATTGAAGAAACGCCCGCCGGCGCTCGGGGACCAGATTGTTTTCGACGCCGTCGGAGGTATACGTGATTAGATTTGCAATGTTTCCGACGGTGTAAAATCACGGCGTGAACGATATATATATATGCGTGTAGAGAAAGAACGGGGGCGTAACAGCTCATAACCGAATTTACTTGCATTTACTAGCCGGGGCTCGACCGGAACCGACAAAAGGAGACTCTGGGAAATTGAAAATTTCATCCTATATTGCTTTTTCCGCATTACGCATAAACGCGCACATACACACATAGCCTGCCAATAGAATACCGATGTCGTCAGTTCTGTTAACTCGCTCTAAATCAATTACAAAGGCGTGAATACCAGACGAGCGCATTTACGGCGGGGAGACTCGATTGCCATAGTTCAGCACGGTGAGAGAATGATTTTTTTTTTCTTTCATAAAAACGTTTTTTTCGATTAAACCGTCGACGTTTTAATTGGATCTTTCGTTGAGTTTGGTAAATCTATTAAAACGCAAAACGTTTTCATAAAATTGTATTTCGAAGAAACGAGTCTTGAAATTTTGCATCGGTAAAGAACGTCTTTTCTTTTAAGTATCTCTGAAAAATACGAATGGCATGAAATGCCTCAACTTAGTGTTGATAATAATAACCCCTAAAAACATTATTGTTACACAAAATAAGAGTTTAATATTCTGCTTGTTCAATGTATGGAAAATGTAAGAAAACATGACAAGGGAATATAGTTGTAAAATAAAGAGTATTCATCAACGGACAATACTGAAGGGTTCCTGAATAATGAATTCAGCCTCACAATAGGTTTTATAATAAATAGTTGTGTTTTTTTAACTCTGGTTTTTTCAGTCTGTATTGTCATTTAACAAGGTCAAATATGAATATTATTTCAAAAAAGTTTTTAAAAAAAACTCACAATGTTTGCCAAATCTCCCTCGTCTTATTATAGAATATAAACTCCGTCAGTTCATTGAAAATACTCTTACCATTTATCAACTAGCTAAAAAGGCAATAATTTAAATGATCGATGTTTGAGTACTACCGGTATGATTGGGCGTTAGCTGTTTGCAAGCCGTTAGTGGGATCAACATCTATAGCTGATGCTGCTAGGCCTGCTGTTTCTGCTGCTGCAGTGACCGAAGCGCGAGACAAATTTATTAGCACGACCAAATCAGAAGATTGTAGTTAATACTACGCCATGCAAATCGATGTACTAAACGCCAGTTGGCGAACAACAATCACAATTGATGACGGCCAGCAACGATGGTAGTCGCCCATGCTAATGCGCTTTTCTGCATCTAATATTTTACCGTTATTTATTATGTTACCCATTACAGCTGGTCGTGACTAGTCAAGTTCACGTTTGTTCGTCCAACGTCGGTACGATCGAGCATAAAAACACCGAGCTGGCCCACATTGTGTACCACTGAGAATAAGATCTTCGGTTTGGGCAGAGCAGGCGAAAGAGTTTGTAAACTAGTTTATCATTCTGGTAAAAAAACAATGCAAACAAAATATGTAAATTAATAAATGAAAATGTGGTAACTTTCGACGAGATATTAGTTATTACGCCAGTGTCATAGTTATTGATGATCGAATTTTAAACTGTGTTCGAAATCTCATTGTTTTTTTAGAGTGATCGAACAAAGGATCTTTCATTATCTATAGAGTTTGCATGGTCATCGTATTATGATATTACTTCCGTTCAGTTAATAACGAATGATGGGTGACTCAAATACACAGAAATAGTATACAATCTAATGATCTTTTATTTAAAATTGTTCGCGAGACCGTGTTGGAGCTTGATTGCCTGGCTGTGTTGCCGGGAGACGTTTTATTTGGTGAGCGCACCTTGGGTAGTTTTTAATTCCAGAAAAAATATTTGCGGAAAAAGAGAAAAAAAAGTAAATAACCGAAAGCATAATGAAACATTCATGACTCTACGGATCCAGCGAGCAAGTACTTATCCAAATTGAACGTTCGTTACAGCTGCTGCCGCGCCACGGTCTGTATACATATTTATATACACATAAGCGATCACATTTCCTGCTAGCGCATTAAAATACAAAGCAGTCCCGCGTTGTACTTACAAGGGCGTTTTCCTGGCCGGACCGTTCGATCGGGTAGTCGTTTTAGAAACACTCAACCAAAGGAATATAGGAAAACAGCGATCGGGAATAAGTGTACTGGCAGAACTTTGATGGCCAATCGACCGGAAACGTATGCGGTGCCTATGCTAGTTGAATTCCGTCCATTTTCCACCCTAACAACCGTATAGAAACAGTGGGCGACTAACATTAACCGGATAGTTGCTCAAGTGCTGTACCAGTCGTCTGTAAACGCGTTTTTTATCTCCACAACTCGTAAAAGTATACCTTCTGCGCTTTATTTATTTTTTAATATTCTCGCTTCAGCAATAAACTCATAAGCAGTCATGTTCTACTATTTATATTGCACACAAAGCCCTAAGGTAGATAAATACAGACATAGCTAACTATTGATGTCAGACGACAAGTGAAAGCGAAATTTGTCCTCTTGGCTGTGAACTCCCACTGTAACAGCAGAGTACTGGAGCGTTAATTATAATAGAAATTGTTCGACGACTCAATGTTTAAAAAAAAAAAAAATTGACAGCTTACGGCCTTTTGGATGTAAGAAACAGAAAACCAACATCATTCATTACCAAGGAAGGGTAATGTGGAGTATTATTTTTATCTGCAAAACGTGACTTACACCACTTTTTCTTTTGACGGCTTATTAATGGATATGAAGGGCACCGGAAAAGATGGGTAGTAGTTCATTTATGACATTTTTTCAGGAGAACAAAAACAAAGTTGGTTTGCGCAACAAACTTAAGTGTCAACCATTTTTAAGGCGCTAAGTTGGCCCCACTGTAACCTTTTTTTCACCGAATGGGATCCCTACATTCGATAATAGTGTCAATGTACCATTGAATGGAACCATTACCTCAAAACTTCTTCCCCTACGCCCTTTGTGTATAAATAACTTTGAACTATCTTTAAAACCACTCTTAGAAATATTTTTATCTGATATAACTATGTTTTATGTCTTGTATTAGCTAGAATCGTTAATTTTTAAACGATTACTCTGTTTTCTGTTATAGGTACTCTACTATCATGTCATTACTCATTAGGTGTTACTGAACTACAAATATTGGATAGAAAATGTTATATTTCTCTGAGCATCAGCCGGTAAACGAACAACGCCGATCGTGGACAGGTGCATATATAAGCTGCAATAACTTAAATTGTATTTTTATACTCGTATAAGCAGACAGCCTAACCGGACTTTGGTGAAACCTACTAACAAGCAAGTTGCGCACAACATCAATAGTTTATATATTGTAATAACAGCATAAAAACTACCATCGACGGTGCCCATATAATTGGTCGATGGAATGGAAACCTAATGAACTTTAAAGGGACTTAATGCGTTCAGCAAGAATAATCGGCCCAGAAACGGCCATAATAAATAAGACATAATTATTTTATCCGGTGCATTTATGCTGAAAACGATTTACTTCAATGCTATACAATTTGTACTTCTATCTCACGATTTTTATTAAATATACTATTTATTTTTAATATCTGCGTCTAAGATGTATATACATGGCCGTATACGAAATAAGAAAATAAGACGGCAAAGATCATAATTAAGACACACATTAGGTATAATAGTCAAAGACGAGATAAAGATATTTACAAGGAGATTTTAAATTCAATCAAGCAAACTGACTTTCGTATCTAAATACACAGGAGCTAATTTTTAAATGTGTTTTCTGATGGAAGTATACAGTTTTAAGATCAAACTATTTTTAATTAAAATAAATTAGGTATAGCATGACGTTTGTATGTATTTAGATAGGGTAGTCGGATTTTAACTTGGATTTATTTATTATCTCATCGGACTAATAGAGTGTATTTTGTAAAACAAAAGTTATATGTTTCAACGTTATTTCACGCGTACTTTAATTAATTATTATTGTTTTATTAATTTCGATAAATAGCAGATTTTATTGTATTACTTACCTACATCTGATTTCTGGATAGAAGTTCGATTATGGTACGTATTTTCATTTATTGTTACATTCGCTTTACGTTCCGATCTGCAAAAATCAAGCAAATTTTAAATTAATATGACTTTACGGTGAAGACTATAAATGTTTGAAAATTGAACATGGCTGTTAACATTATAATATACACAGCACATGTATATATTTGGTTAAATTGTAATATCACCAAGCACGGTTTATTGAAGCTATATAGGCAATAGGCCAGTTTATAGTAGTTGGTAAATTTCATTATTGTAAAAGATAAATATAGGGTTTTCGAAGCGACTAGTCGGTCCTACCGATAATGTATTTTTTAGGTTGTTGTTTATATACTCCGGAGACGGACTTACGACCCGTATCCCGGATAGCAAATCTGTCGAAATTCCCTTCTCCCTATTTGTGGGGGTAACGATGGCCTTGCATTGGCTCCTCGGGGCGCTTAAGTTGTATACGATTGCTGATATACATTATACACCCCGACGAGTGATGGTCAACTGGAGTAATTTAGTTTCGATATATGCGGTTTTCGTACTATTTTACCAAGCACAGCTTCGGGATAGGTGGTCCGTCCACGAGGGGATTTGGACCGAATCGAACAAAAATAATGGACTTAAAATGTCGGACATAAAGCTAACAACGACGTGTCGCTACAGTACGAGGTATATTATATATATATATATATAGCACGGTAGCCATTTACGAGAAACGAGCCCCAGCGGGGAACAGACGCCTCCCCCCCAGTTTTGGATCGGTTCGGTCTCACACGTGGTCACGATTGTTTATAGATCCATGAAAGTAAGTGTTATTTTTTACGATTCGTTGATAACTCCAAGACGGTGACGGAGATTTTTATACATCCCGGCAGCAACGGCAGCTGCAGCTGCTATCGTTCGGCTCTCTACCAGATAGAATCGATCAGGTTCGTTTAGTTTTTTTGTTTTGTTTTGGTTTCTTTGCTCTATCGCCAAAGTATACTAAACAAAAGCTACGACTATAGAAATTTGATCTTGTGGAGAAATGGGCAGCGCTGATAGGTGCAGGGAAATTCTCATTTTTCGTTCATTCTGGCTAAACTGTTCACTGGACAAACTGGACAACAAGTCACAGAAAATTAAAAACAAAGAAATATCCGAGATCTGGCGTCACTGTCTATTTCTCAATATGTCTGACCGGTTTTTGATAAGCTCTAAGAATCCCTTCTGTTTATTCTGTGGTAAAACGTCTATGCGTGGGCGACAAACAGCAGCAGCAGAAGCCGATAGTGATAACAAAGAAAAACGTATATTATGTTGCCGGCACCATCGTTCGTCACTAGGTTGATGTGTTTGCACGTTGTCGTTGCCGTTGGCAGCTGAATGACAGCAAAGTGGCTAATAAATTATCATTTGTTTACAATTTTCATTATTGCCAACGCTGATGCGAACTCTGCACAGTGTCTATATAGTCATTCCGGATATTGCATACACAGCCTGTCGAGGAGACGGTTTATCGCCTTTTTTTGGCAAGTGGCAACCGTGGCCGGATAACGCCAAAAAAAACGAGGGACTTTTTTTGTACATAGACCGAGTGTTCCGTATGATCCAGTTATGTAAAGCACTAGCTGATCAAACAAACTATAAAAATAATCGTACCGAAAATAAATAAAGGCACCAAACAAAAAATTACCGTTGACAAGTCAGACTTGGCGTTCTTTATAAGCGTTAAATTTTCTAACAACATTGATTTAAATTGAACACGGGATTAAAATGAAAAAAAAAAATAATTTATTTCCTTTAACTTATATTGGACGTTTGTGGCTCGACTCTGCTACTCTGAGACAAGACGGTACAAAAAGAAAACTGACAATTATTAAACGGTATAGAATATAATAATGAAAACCATTTTTACTGGTTCATTGGCGACATGGCAAACTGAAAAATTGATATTTAATTTTTTCCAACTATATACGATCCTACGGGCTCTGAAGTAGATATATAATAGTATATTATTATTTATTTAATGGCGAGAAAAAGAGTAATGGGAGCGCACGTGCGGCACGTCATATTGACGGTTTATTTTAAGAGGCTATACCTATATTCGGCCGGACCAGATGGATCGCGCACGATTATTTATCAAAAAACTTCATACAAAAACAATCAATTTCCTGGCGAGTATGCTGAGTTCTTAAAATATCCGTGTAAATTAATATTCACGCGTATTATATAATATTCATATATGTGGGACAACCCGTCCTATTTGCAGTCACCATAATATAATGTACCATTGTTATTATTAGTTTCTATGAAATCCATTTGTAAAAATATATATTTTCTTTATACGAGAGGGAGATAATATATTATATGTTTAAGTGTAAGTTTTAACTACAAAGATTTTTGTTTGTTAACACTTCTTAAGACTACTGAGCCGATTTTGATCAAATAAAAACAAAAGTATTAGCTTTATCGTAACAGTTCTCTCACAGAGCTCCAGAAATAAACTGCTGATTTCCGCTTACAGTTAAAAAGAAAACACATAATATCAGCTTGCGGATGAACACTGAAAACATTTAAAATGTTAACTTGAAATAAATTATATTATTAAAACTTTAATCCTACGTTAGGTTATTATAATGTTATTTCCTACAACAATAATTACAACAACTATTTATGGATAGTAAATTTAACTTTAATATGAGGACAGGAAATATCACTGAAGTGATAAGAGTGTAAATGTGGAATGATAGAAAGGCAGGTCCGACTGCTGATTAGCGTGTTTGGAGATAATAAGAGACAATTTTGTGTGGAGGCTGAGAACTATTATTATTTACCCATCCCAAATAATGAGACCAAAATGGAAAGGGAAAAGAACGTTTATTAGCATGACACAGGACATTAAGCGTGTCTCAGTTAGCCGGGTGTTTTCTTTTGTGTTTTCGTTGATAAATTTCTTGTATTCACTTTTCTTAATTAATTATAATATAGTATAGCTAAAAATACAAACTGAAGACCATGACGAACAGTAGCGTTTAATAGATCTTCTATAATACACATAAATATATGTATATATTTTTTTCATTTAGCACGGTTTCTTTGTTAGTTTTAAATTAACTACAAGTTTGTTCTCGTAAGTTTGAACTAACCAGTCAGATAAAAAAATATCAAAAATAACCCACGAACATTGTGTTAGTCTAAAACTGTGTTCTTGAGTGTAAAATAAATTCTTTTATACAGCATTTATTCATCGTTAATTTTAATACTAAATTCATTTTTATAAATTTTAAATTATTCGCTTATTAACTTTGGCTTCTTTGGTTTTATATTTTTGTCCAAATTATGTTCTGAGCGTGCTACCCCAAGGAGATTGGAGCTGGTTGACGGGGAAAGTTTGCAAGGAAGACAACATAATACAGTAATTATTATTATTTTTATACTTTGCCGTAACGATTTTTGCTGCTGTACACTTTATTACTTTCCGACCTGGGTCCGGAAACGATAATGAGGAACGCACAACAACGCGACGCATAATAATAATAATGATTACATTAACGCGGGGAGTCGCCGGACGTCATTACTGTTGAAAGCGACTTGACGCCGAGAAGAGGATGGGTTGAAGGGAAACAGGGATTACGCATTTCGGTCGTCGCGGGCAGTCCTGCCTTTCTCGCCGCCGCCGCCACCGCCACTTCCATCGACCACCGTGGGCATTTCAGAGCTCATGCCACGAAAGTGCGACGACCGACCCCTCCCCTCCCCGGTTCGGGTCCAAAATTACAACAGCTACATTGCGGTGGGGTTGACCGGGGGCAAATGCAGTATTATTTCCGACGGACCGACATTGTCAATTACAAGCACCGGAGTTTAGGGCCCGACGGCCGGTCCTTCTGCCGATATTGTATTTTTATTTAATTAGCGCCGGTCATGCCGACCCAACCAAAAATAAACAGCGACAACAACATTTAACGTTATTCGTGTATTTGATGGAACAATTACTACACCACTGTCCGGCGGCGGTGTTTACACGGCCCGTCAAAACGGTTGCCATGTTTGTGTACCACCGACCGAATGACGATTGGTTCGAGAAGAAGTGGCGACGGCCAAAGCCATAACTATAGGAGCCCAGAATTCGGAAGAACAAATTAACTTTGTGTGCTATTATTCTTTCTCTAGGGATAAATGAACTATATACCGCCGTTGTTGATATTGCCATTATAATGATTATGACCCGAGTGAAAAGTTCCAAAAATCGTTTTCCTTTTTAATTTTTACAGTGCGTTTTTTACACTATTTGTTCGTTACACAATTTAAATTTAAATTCGTTAAACATCTTGGAGTGCACTTAAAAATATGATTATTTAAGAGAGGGGCTGACGATTTCGTCATTAACGTGGAGAACAGCTCGAGACGTTTTTACCGTTCAACTTATACTTTATTCACGCGATCAGACCACGCAGCATTTACGTTTTGATCGATATGATAATAATTATTAATTTGAGTAACGACAATTATTATTTAGCGTTATGCTCGGCCGTCGAGATGACTCCGCAGTTGTAACAGCTCAAAAAACAATAGTAATAAAAATGTCGTTATTGCATACTGAGATTTGCGCTTTTGGTAAATGCACAGTGCTTACTAGGTGAACGCAGCGAATACGTTATGATCACAGATAGCGTTTGAGATTTTGTTTTTCAATTTAAAAGTCTAAGCCAAAAAGCTTTTCGGATGTATATTTTAAAAGAAACACTATAAACAAAAGTACGCTCAAAGGGTGGGCGGTCGAGTGATAAACAATATTCGTGTAAGTTTCAACTTGTCCAAAGTTTTTGCGGATAGTTTTGCCCGAGCGGAATAAAACAAAAGAAAAGGGCCGAAAGCAAAATGGGGAGAAAATATATTTCATACTTGCGAGTAATAGAAAAACTTTTAGTACACCGCATGTGAGGAGCACATTATGTATACCATAGCCGCCGATTCGTATAATAATAATATGGTAATTGCGTGCTAGTTCCATGGCCGGATTATAGTTATTATTGTTGTAGAATTATCTCTAGGCTCCGCCAAGGTAATCTCCTCTTCGGG